TGATAAGGAAACACTGAATTGCATTCAGTTAAACATATTCTTACCATCTGACCAAGCAACCCAACTCATAGAAATTACCTAAGTAAAATGCAAACCTATGTTCACACAAAAACAACATTGGACAGATGTTTAGTAAGTTTATGCAAAATATCCAGTTATGTGGCTCAGTTGGTTGGAGCATCGTTTCGTACACCAGAAGGTGGCAAGTTCGATTCCAGGTCAGGGCACATACCCAGGTTCTATCCCCTTTCAGGGCACGTGTGGGAGTCAACCAATTGATGTCTCTCTCTCACATTAATGTTTATCTCTCTCTCTCTCAAATCAATAAAAAATAAAAATGTTTAAAAGAATATCCAGATATTGGAACCAACCCAAATGTCTTACAAGTGGGAAATGTAGAAACAATCTGTGATATCTATATATAATGGAATACTATTCAGCAATAATAAAAAAGATTTTACCACTGATTTATTATGGGTTAAATTGTGTTCAAAAATTCATTTGTTTCATTTAGCATGGAGGGGAGGTAAGGGGAGTGGAGGAAGGCATGCAGGGATAAATAATGATGGAATGAGACTTGACTTGGGGTGGTGAACACATAACACAGTGTTGTGAAATTGTACCCCTGAAATTTGTATGATTTTGTTAACCAGTGTCACCCCAATAATTTCAATAAAAAGGAAAAAAATTGTTTGTTGAAGTCCTAACTCTCAGTACTTCAGAATGTGTTTTTATTTGGAAATAAGATTTTTGCAGATTTAATTAGGTAAAATTAAGTCATAGTGGAGTAGGGTAAACTTCAAATCCAATATGACTCATGTCCTCTTAAAAAGGGAAAATTTGAGAGGTGACGTAAGTGGAATGGCAGTGTAAAAGATCCTCTTGGCCTTTCCCCTCGAAGTGTCAACAATTTAAGTAGCTATAATTCAAAAAAGGATTTCTTGCTCGACACACAAATACATCTGAGAGATCCATACATTGAAACATCAAGAAATGCCAACAGCCCAGCTGGTGTGGCTCAGCAGTTGAGCATTGACCTAGGATCCAGGAGATCAGGGTTTGATTCCTGGTCAGGGCACATGCCTGGGTTGCGGGCTCAGTCCGCAGGAGGGGGCGTGCAGGAGGCAGCCGATCAATGACTCTCTTATCATTGATGTTTCTGTCTCTCTCCCTCTCCCCTCCTCTCTCTGAAATCAATAAAGACGTATATATAATGCGAACAACTGCCAGCAAACCACCTAAAATCTCAGAGACAGACATGAAACAAATTCTCTCCTACGGGATTCACAAGGAACCAGCAGAACAACCCTCCTGACACCTTGATCTCAGACTTCTAGCCTTCAGAAATATGAAACAATAAAGTTGTGTTGTTTAAGCTACCAAGTTTGTGGTACTTTTTTATGGCTGTTCTAGGAAATTAACATAGGTAACAATATGAGTGGATCTCAAATACACCATGCTAAGTGAAAGAAGCCAGACAGAAGGGCTATATACACTAGGATTTAATTTATAGGACATTCTTGCAAAGACAAAATTAGTGGTTGGGGCAGTGGGTGAGAGAAGGGGCTGATCACAAAGAAAAGCTCAGAGGTTTAGTTTGGATGATGGAACTCTTCTATATGATGATGTGGTTGGTAATGGTTTCATGACCACATACATTTGACCAAACTTGAAGATTTATACACTAAAAACCATAGATATTATTGTTTATAAATTATATTTTAATCAGAAAGTAGGACGAATAAGAAATAACAAGTAATATGAAAACATGTGTGCACTCTCATCATATCTAGCTAGGTTCCTACAGGCAATTTAATTGCTTCTTTTCTAAGACCTTGGGACAAGAGCTCTTGAAGTCCTCATAGGGGACATCCCCAAAGAACTCCATGTCTCTAGGCTCCCTCCTGATTCCTATGAATTTGCCTCTGAAATCCCAATGACTCAATGTGGCATCATTTTAAAGAGACCAGACTGTGTGCTGAGCCCCCTTGGCTATCCTTTACTCATCCTAATGTTAATAGTTGTTAGTACGTGCAGGCCTTCCTTCTGACTTCTGATCTGAGGATTTGCTATGAGCCTGCAATCATGGCCAGGGAAAACATCTCAAGATGAGTATTATATTGATTGACTTTTAAATGATAACCCCTGGTTGTTTTAAAGAGCTTTCCTTATTTGCTCTTTATAGGCACAATTCAGTAAATTATGAGGGAGAAGTAATTTTAGAACAAAGGAGAAGACAAGTGACTCCTCCAAAAGCATAGTAAGTATTAATGGTGGATTCAGGACTTATACCCAGGTTTCTGACTTCATGTTGGGGCTTTCTTCCATCTTTACTTGTCTTAGAGATCTTGGAATCTTTTGACCAGTACCCAATAAAGAAGTTCACCAAGAATATATATGCATTATTCCATGATTAGATTTCATAGGTCAGAACCATTATTCAGGGGTGACCGTTCATTTCATCAGCAAGGTAAGCCTCTATGTTTTATACACATTTGTAGTGAGAACTGTAACTTACGCAAAATCCATGGGGCAGCTATACCTACTATAGGTTATTTGAGCACATAACTAGATATTTTGAACAGTTTTTTCTAAAACAGTGAGTTGAGACTGGTGTTTAAATGTCAAAACTTCATCAGTAAGAAGTGCAGTGATACTTACAAAATATCATTATGTTGCTTTCCTAAAAAAGATTAGCAAAAAAAGTAATGCTTTTATTGAGTGAGTCTTAATTTCACCATATTTACTATCTGTGGTCCTTTCACTGGAGGTTTAAAAAAAAAAAGCAGAAGAGAGTGAAATAACCTTCCTTTAAACTACAGAAGTGTTGTAATTGAATTAGCAAGATCCATTGTGATCTTTTCCACATAATCTTATTTTTGTTATTACTGACACACCTACAAATGTTGATGGTGAGGTGGCTAAAAGTCTAAGCTTTTGATTTTGTCACAGATGGATTTGAATCATGAATCTTGAATTTTCTTCATACTCACTGCGCAATTGTAGAGCTTTGCATAGCTTCTCAAAAACCTCAGTTCTCTTAATGGTAAAATGGGAATTATAACATCACCTACCTTACAACATTATCGTGAAGATTAAATGAAAAGTTTATTTATAAACATATATGTAAACATACCTAAATATAATTATATATATCTATAGCTTTTATGATTGTTTGCAGAACATACTGTACTCTACAAGCGGTTATGACTGTCAAAGGCTGACAAACCTAGTGACTCCAGAGGCTAGGCTTGTAAAGTGAAGATGCGAAAGAGTTAGGAGGACAGTGGTAGAGAATACTGATTAGTGAGTGACAGGCGTCCTGAAGACCTTAAGTTCAGGTTAACAAGATTTAAAACATTGCTCTGACTCAAGAACATAGTTATATAAAAAGTTTAAACATAAATCCCAACACCAAAACAGACCTAGAGTCTAAAAGCAGCCAACAAATTGGGAACTTTCAACCCTCAATCTCCATGATTCAACTGAGATGATAACAATGAAAGAAGAAATGAGTTTAACAAAGGACACTCTTTTAGCTCATGTTAAAATATAGATTTTAAGAAAGAAATTAAACCAAAGAGCAGCTCATATGGAATGGCTAGAATAGCTACTCCTGCTCCCGGAGGAGGGGCAGACAGAAAAACACTAGGGAACACATCTCAGTGAACCAAGTATGTGAGAAAAAGGAAATCAGAGAGAGAGACTACAAGACTTTAAAGCTCACCCGCACGTGAATCCCTAATAAGCTAACACTTATGAGGCCATGCTATATACCCAACATTTCACTCATTTTATTTGACCCATTATTTTATTTAATCCTCACAATAATACCATGAGATTCATCCCATTACAACCTTCATTTTGTATATAGAGAAAATCAGGTTCGGGTACTTAGGTTGGAACCAAAAACTCTTGGGTAGTAAACGGTAGGACTGATGTGCACCTCTTCCCAGAGCCCAAGCTCTGTATCCAATGCTATACGTCTTCTCCTCAGAACTGCCTCTGCTGGTTGTACATGCCCCTGTGTCTCCAGTTACCCACCACATCTACCACGAATATAGGTCTCAGTTACTTAACTGTGAAACTCCAAACACTGAGTTTGGACCAGTAGAGACAAAGAGTAAACGCAAGTTGCATTAAATTCAATTTTATTTATATTAAGACCAATGAGCTGAAGAACCACTCTGCATGTGTACATAACTTGGCTTTGGCAGTAATAATTTTTTTAAAAATGTATCATTATTGATTTCAGAGAGAGGAAGGGAGAGGGAGAGAGAGAGACAGAAACATCAATGATGAGAGAGTCATTGATCGGCTGCCTCCTGCAGGTCCCCCACCAGGGATTGAGCCTGCAACCCGGGCATGTGCCTGACCAGGGATCGAACCTTCCTGGATTGATCCAGGGATTGAATCTCCTGGATCATAGGTCAATGCTCAACCACTGAGCCATGCCCAGCTGGGCAGTAATAATTTTTAAACTTAAATATGTTTACTGAACCTCTGTGCCTCATAAGTTAAATAGGGCAATAACTAGTCAATCTTATAGAGTTACTGAAAAACATAAATGGGTATAGATGTAAGATGTCTAGAGCATTTCCTGGCATATAAGCAACATAGAAGTATAAGCATTCACTAGGCTTAGAGAACTGGAATGACAGATGTTTCATTCCAGATATGTCATCTTGATCAAGACATTACTTATTTACACAACCAGTTTAAAATTTACAAAATTTAGAAGGTGGGAAATGATTCGTAAAAATCCATCAGTTTCAGCAACGTGTAACTCTGTAGGTAATGTATGCAGTAAACTTTGTTGTCAAACCCGTATGTTAGGTCAGAATAACAGTGAAATAAAAATTATTGCCATTATAAAGATGTACATTTATCTATTATCTTTCTGTCTATCTGTTTCAGTTTCTATTCGATTGATTTTTTGTCAATCATTGTGTTCCTTTATTGGTCACTGCTACAGGGCCTCTTGTGATCCTACAATTTCCATGGGGAACAGGACAGAAGTGACTGAGTTCACCCTCCTCGGACTGACCAGCGCCCCAGACCTGCAGGTCCCCCTCTTCATCATGTTCACTCTCATCTACCTCATCAGTGTGGTTGGAAACCTGGGGATAATTATCTTGATTCTCATGGACTCTCATCTCCACACTCCCATGTATTTTTTCCTTAGTAACCTCTCTTTGGTTGACTTTTGTTACTCTACAGCTGTCACTCCCAAGGTCATAGCTGGATTCCTCATAGGAGACAAGGTCATCTCCTACATTGCATGCGCTGCTCAGATGTTCTTTTTCGTAGCCTTGGCCACTGTGGAAAATTTCCTCTTGGCCTCCATGGCCTATGACCGCTACGCAGCAGTGTGCAAGCCCCTGCACTACACCAGCACCATGACACCCGGGGTGTGTGCGCGTCTGGCCGTAGGTTCCTACATCTGTGGTTTTCTGAATGCCTCTGTCCACGTTAGGGACACATTCAGCCTCTCTTTCTGTATGTCGAATCTGGTCCATCACTTTTTCTGCGATGTTCCAGCAGTTATGGCTCTCTCTTGTTCTGACAGACATATTGGTGAGCTGATTCTTGTTGTCGTGGCAAGCTTCAACATCTGTTTTGCTCTCGTGGTTATCTTGATTTCCTACATGTTCATATTTGTCACCATCCTGAAGATGCACTCAGCTGATGGATATCAGAAGGCTCTGTCCACCTGCGCCTCTCACCTCACTACAGTCTCCATCTTCTATGGAACTATTATCTTCACTTACTTACAGCCCAGCTCCAGCCATTCCATGGACACAGACAAAATTGCATCTGTGTTTTATACTATAGTCATCCCCATGCTGAACCCCCTGGTCTATAGCTTGAGAAACAAGGAGGTAAAAAATGCATTCAAGAAGGTTGTTGAGAAGGCAAAACTGTCTCTAAGCTTCACCTGTTAAAGCTGTAGGATCTCTAATAACCTAGTTTTATTCCTGTCAGATGTTCAACATGCATGACTCACATTTTTATGGCCCACAATGCCCATAAATTGCTGAGAATACTCTTCTTTCTTCAAAAGCTTATCATCTAGAAAAAAGAAAATGTTGTGTCCAAATACATGATATCTGAATTAGAATGGCCAAAGGGGACCTTAAGAATTTTGGTGTCCTTGCTTGTAATAAACCTTATTAATTATATTTAATTTATTTCCATGTTCATATTTTCTCTGCCATGTGGCAATGGAAGTATATATGGAAAACATGGCACACACGAATCCATGAAAAGAAGCACATGCAAGAATCCCCTATGTGCACATACATGCAAAAGTGGGAAATTTGTTAAAAGAGTTGGATGGAGTATGGCCAGTTTTTAATTTAAAAGTTAATATAATTTATACATCAGAATATACATTTATGTCCAATAGTATTTCTGTAGTTCAAAACTATTTTAGGAGTCTAACATGAAGAAAAATGTGATATGGCTGTTTGAATAAAGATACATGCTTTTGGTTGGCACATTTTATTCAGAGCTACATATGTATAATATTTTAAAGGAACTGATATTTCTGTCTTCAGTAAGTCTACTGGCAAAAACAGTTTGTTTACAGGATGAATTTCAAAAACAAAAAGGCCGGAGTATAAGCAAAGGAGATTGAGAAATAAAAGGGAATTTTCCAATTTTTCTGTATATGACTACCTTATCTTATATTTTGTAAACAAACAAACAGTGATTAATAATGTTATCCATTTTTCTCATTGAAAATTCTATGACAGTGTTAATGCCACTCATTCATGGATGCTTCAGTATTAGCTGAGCTCCGTCATGTGTCACCGTTCCTCTCCCCCTTCACTCCACCTTGGTCACACTGAGTTCCTTGCTTTTCCTGGGCAACTCCAAGCATGCTCCGGCCTCAGGGTCTTTGCACTCGCTGCTGCCAATGCTCAGAAAGCTCAATTCTTTCGTGTCTTTGCTTAAATGTTATCATACCAGATTCCTCCACCTCTCGATGGACACTGTTCCTTTCCTGCACTCCTTGCTTTAGCCTTCATAATTCTGATCAGCACTCAGCTATTAAAATATTACCATTATTTATATATATATATATTTCCCTACAGAGCATACACCACACAAGAGGAGTCACTTTGTCTTCCTAACTAACAACTTCATTTCCAATACATAAATTACAACCTGGTTTATACTAATTTCTCAATAAATATTTGTTAAATTAATGAATAAATAAATTAATTAAAATTTGAGTCCAGCAGTCAATATATTTGAACCACTGATAATTATAGGAGTTCATTATCCGTCATAGAATTCTTTAGAAAATAACTTTAGAGGCCCTGGCTGGGTAGCTCAGTTGGTTAGAGCATCATCCCGACATGCCAAGGTTGCAGGTTGGATCCCAGTTAGGGCACATACAAGAAGCAACCAATGAATTCATAAATAAATGGAATGGCAAATTGATGTTTTTTTTCTCTCTTTCCCTTTTCTTTCTCTCTCCTCTTCTTACCTCTCTAAAATCAATCAATAGAATTTTAGAGCATTTCATGAGCCATGGATAGGCTTTAAAAAAAAAAAAATTCTCACTCACTATTTGTATTTCCTACTTTTGGAGAAATTAATTTTTTAGAAATCATACTATCAAATGCATCGTATCAAACCATCTTAATTTTTTTATTAGTATTTCTCAGTAAGTGGAAAATAACACATGAAATAAATTTTGTTTAGTAAACCATAAAAAGACAAAATGAGATTATAATAAGTTTCCTACCTGGTTCAATTTGCAAAATGTCTCCATAAATAATGATTATGTATTTAATGTCAGTGGTTCAAAACAGACAAGTCCTATGTACCTCTCACCCAGTTTCCTCTTTAGTTAATATCTTTATCACGTTATATTTGTCAAAACTAAGAAACCAACATTGATACATTACTATTATCTAAAATGTCAAAAATTTATTCAGATCATTATTTTTCAACTAAGGGCATTTTGCTCTTACAGAATCCAGTCCAGGATGCAACATTGCACATTGGTCATGTCTCTTTAGTCTTCTCTGATCTGTGACAGATTCTCAGTTTTTAAAATTTTTTTGTCACCTTAATAAGTATTTTGTAGAATCAAGTATTTTGTAGAATGCCTTTCAATTTATGTTTATCTGATTTTTTGACATCGTTATATAAATTTTGAGAAAGAATAAGAAGTGACCTTCTCATCATGTCCTATCAGGGACACACACTGCCAACATGACTTGTTACTGGGGATTTTACCTTGATCAGTTAAACAAGATGATCCCTTGAACTTCTGCCAGGTTCTTCAATGTAATGCTACCTTTCCCCCCCGCGCACTCTATACTTTAGAAGCACGTCACCAAGCTTCAGTGCACACTCAAGGTGGAAGAGGCTACATTCCATATCCTAGGGGAGGTCTATACAAATTATTTAAATTTTCACTATTAGGGAAACACAAACCAAAACTACAATGTGATACCACCTCACACCTGTTAGAATGGCTATTATGAACATGACAAGTAATAACAAGTGTTGGAGAGGTTGTGGAGAAAAGGGAACCCTCATTCACTGCTGATGGGACTGTAAACTGGTACAACCACTATGGAAAACAGCATGGAGGTTCCTCAAAAAATTAAGAATAGAGTTACCATATGACCTAGCAATCCCTCTTCTGGGTATCTACCTAAAAAATTGAAAACATTTATTCGCAAAGATATATGCCTCTCTATGTTCATTGCAACACTATTCATGATGGTCAAGACATGGAAAGAGCCAAAGTGTCCTTCAATAGGTGACTGGCTAAAGAAGATGTGGTACATATACAATGGAACACTACTCAGCCATAGAAAAGATGAAACACTGCCATTTGTGACAACATGGATGGATCTTGAGAGTATCATGCTAAGTGAAATAAGTCAGGCAGAAAATGCTACAAACCATGTGATTCACTCATATGTGGGATATAAGACTGAAAACTCATGGTCACAGGCAACAGTATTGTGGTTATTAGAGGGAAGGGGTGGGGGTAGTAAAGGATAAAGGGAGCCAAATATTTGGTGACAGAAGATGGTTTGACTTTGGGTGGTGGGCACAGAATGTAATATGCAGATGACGNAAGGGAGCCAAATATTTGGTGACAGAAGATGATTTGACTTTGGGTGGTGGGCACAGAATGTAATATGCAGATGACATATCATAGAAATGAACACTTGAAACCTATATAATCTTATTAACAATGCCACCCCAATAAATTTAATAAAAAATAAAATTTCTCCTTAAGGAAGAAGTGTTTGTGTGTTTATTTGTTTATTTACATCAGGAAAACCCAAACCAAGGTTGTGAAACAAAGTGTCAAGACTCCTAATGATGTATGTCTGCATGGAGCACGTAAGGGGCACAAAGGAGTCAGTGGTCAAGTCTACTTGGACAGTCAGGAAAGGCTCTGTGAAAGAAAATATTGTTGAAATGAGGCTTAAAAAATCAGATGTTCTTTACACAAATGATGTCAAAGGAAACAGCACAAGGAAGATTTCAGGGTCATAGAACCGTCACTTTTTGGAGGTATGGATTCTGAAAACAATGACATTTAAAAATTTTCTCTCAATGAATGGATACTTGACACAATAAGGACTGAATAGTCTGCTTTCATCATTAATTTATTCAACATCTAATTTTCAAATGATGCAGGTAATCAACTTATACAATGAGTTCTTACACACATCAAGCCCTGAAAAGGCAATGGAGAAACAATACTGACAAGATCTTATCCTCGTAGCGTTTACAGCTTTATGAGGGAGACAAGAAAACAACTAAATGCAATAATAATTTTAAAATGTTATTACTACTATAAAACAGTCAGGGATTTTCAGCAGACACTAATGGGAGAAAGAGAGATGCTTAGACTAAGTACATAGCATTGGGAATGAAGAGAAAGGACTCTAATGATACCGTCTGCATGCGAGTAAAATTTAAATGACGTGCTGGGGAAGAGGGAGTCATGACTGGAGGGAAGGGAGAGCTCAGGAAGACTCCACACCGTTGGGTTAGTGCTGCGGCCATCTGGTGACACAGCCATCTGGTGACACAGCCATCGCGAAAGGAGAAACGTGTTGGAGGCAAAAAATGAAAGCTCTATTGTACCTGAGATGCTTCTGGGATAGCAAGGTGGAGATACAAAAGTAGATCTCATTAAGTATCTGGTCCTCAGCAGGGAAATCTGGATGTCATGCGTTTAATTCATCAAACAAATGTTTATCGAGTATCTACTAGGGGCCAGGCCCTGTTGTAGGATTTGTGGATAGAAAATAGTTGAAAATCCATATTTTCCCTAAGCTTATGTTACAGAGGGAAGTGATTAATAATAAAATAACTAAATATATACAGTAAGTCAGATGGTAGTGAGTTAATAGGGAAAAAAATTAACTTCCTAGTTTAAAAACTCTAAAAGGAAAGTAATTGAATACATTTTAGGAGCCAAAGTGATAATAAATGAGAAGACACCTCTTATAGCCCCAATTTGATTTAATAATATACCAACAAAGGTGGCGGAGCTGTATTATAGGAGCCCAGTTACCTGGGTTTTACTTGTAAGTTTCCACTTGAGAGTTGTAAAACCTGAGCAAGTTTCTCAGCACCACTGTATATGTGAATACAATATCATTGGAAGGGGTGTTAGAGTACATGAGAGCCTGGAGTTGGGGTTGTTATAGAAAAAATGATAGAAGGACACTCATCAAAAGTGGGAAGATGCCCTCAGTATGAATAGCAGAGCTCATAAAGTCTCAGACGTAGCAGCGGCCAATTGAGTACATGGGTTCCTCATTTATAGAACAAAGGTATCAACTTTGATAAACTTTAATATTCCTTCCAGAACTACAATTTGATTAAACTTTTTGGTCAACAGTGTGATAGTCTTACCTGAATTATGGTGTTCAGTTCCTTCAATAATTCTGAATCTGCTTGGTGATAACCACCTGACTTTTAAATTCTTGTAATTATTGGGATTGGGCCAGCCTGACTCTACCATAACAGTGAAGCTTAAGCTATTTTTCTCTTTAATGGAACTATAAGGCCTCGACTTCTCATTTTTTTTCCACTCATTACAAACTCTTGGAGTTAAGCAGTCACGCTGTGAGAATGCTGGCCTGAAAATACTAGGATGAAAGACTTCTGGAGAATGAGAGACCATGCGGAGCAGAAGTAGCCAGTAGCCAGATTCAACATGCAGAAATGTAAGGCCATCTCGACCCTCTCAGCCCAGCTGACCGTGCAGAAGATACGCAACCTCATGAGTGAGCCCGCGTGAAAGTACTTGTCCTTAGAATTATGAGAAATAAACGCTGTTGGGTTAAGTCACTAAGTCTTGTTGTAATTTGTTGCATAGCAATAGACAACTGATCGACTACACAGATGTATAATATCTCTAACTAAAATTATGTGCTGAGCAGAACCTTCATCTTCTTCATGGCTTTTCTGAAAGCATTATTAACCTCTTTATTCCGCAGACTGTAGACAAGAGGGTTCAACATGGGGACTATGATTGTATAGAACACAGATGCCGTTTGGTCGGTGTCCAGGGTGTGGCTGGAGCTGGGCTGTAGGTACATGAAGATGACAGTCCCATAGAAGATGGAGACAGCAGTGAGGTGGGAGGCGCAGGTGGAGAGGGCCTTCTTCCGCCCCTCTGCTGAGCGCATCCTCAGAAGGGCGATGAATATGAACAGATAGGAGGTCAAGATAACTGTTAGGGCGAACAAGACATTGAAAGCTGCTAAGATAAAGAGCACTATCTCGTTGATGGAGATATCAGAGCACGAAAGAGCCAGGATTGCAGGGATATCACAGAAAAAGTGATGGACCACGTTGGAGCGGCAGAAGGACAGGCAGAAGGTGAAGCCAGTGTGGATGGCGGATTCAACCAAGCCCCAGACGTAGCAGCCCACGGACATCTGAACACACACCCGGGGCGTCACGATGCTGGTGTAACGCAAGGGTTTACACACGGCGGTGTGACGATCATAAGCCATGACAGCCAGCAGGAAGCAGTCTGCACTGGCAAAAGCGACGAAGAAGAACATCTGCGCAACGCACCCCCCGTAGGAGATGACTTTGCCCCCTGTGAGGAACCCCGCCATCACCTTGGGGGTGACAGCCGAGGAGTAAGCGCAGTCCACCAGGGACAGGTTACTGAGGAAGAAGTACATGGGCGTGTGCAGGCAAGAGTCCAACAGAATTAACGCGATCATCCCAAGGTTTCCCATGAGCGTGATCAGATAGATGAGAGTGAATATTACGAAGAGGGGGACCTGTAGCTCTGGGGTGTCTGTCAGTCCCAAGAGTCTAAACGCATTCACCTCTGTGCTGTTCTCCATGGAGGCCATTTCGAAATCGTGTGTCACCTGGCAGAACAAGAGAAGCAAAATGGATGAATTACTTACGCGTGGGAAACGACTCACAGCATGCCCACGTCACCCACATGCCATGAGGGCGCCATGACCCCGTGACCAGTGCAAGGTTTCCGATGACCAAGACGCTGGCACCTCTCACCCCCGCCTTCCGATCTGTAAGGGTTTACACGCATTCCTTAGCTCCACACCCCCTCAGGTATCCCAAATGACCGTATCTTCAAAGTATCCATTGCTTATTTTCATTTGGGTTGAAAACTTCTGCTTTCTTTGTCAATGAGTCTGTCATCCCCTGACCAAGTAACACTCACATTAATGGAGGACTTTCCATGTGCCAGGTGGCCTGAGAAGAAGGAACAGTACCTCGCTTAATGTCCCAGCCATCCTACTAGGCAACCATCAGACAAAAATGATGTGCCACTGCCTTTCTGGATGAGAAGTGCTGGGAAGATTGTCATTTAAGCAAGTGTGACCCGCCTGGGATCTAAGAAAGGATAGTTGCCCTTTCACTTCTCAGTGAAAACTGTCCCCCTTGAAACATATGCCAAAAAAAAAAAAAGAAATCTCAAAACTGTGACCATTCAAACAGTGCTCTGTACAGCCTGTGCCTGGCTTCATCCTCGAGGGAAGCGGCAGAAGGTGGAGGAAGGTGTTCATTCTCATTTCATCCCCTTGGAAAGCAACCTAAATGTCCCTGAGCTTGAATTTCTTCATCCAAAACATAAATAAATAAAGTGGGCATTGCATTTCCTATTTTACTCTAGGGAATTCTCATAGCAATTTTAGAAGGTGCGTTGAAGACAACACGGGTCTTTAGAGAGGCAGCGTCTCATGGTTGGTAAAGAGCATGGTCTCTGGAGTCATTCAAATTCCCGCATCTCCACTTGCCAGGTGGGCAGCCCTGGGCAAGTCACAACCTTCCTGGGCCTCAGTTTAAAACAGGGGTGATAAAATAGCACCTTGCCAAGCTGTTTGGAGAATTTAATGAGTTGACGTGTTTAAATCACTCAGAATACTGCTTAATACATAATTAGCATGCAATAAGCCACATGTTTTAATATGATTAAATAAATATTATTATTATTAACAGTAGTTGTAGTAGTACATAAAAGATAGGTTGAAAGAGAGTAACAAAATAAACCTAACAAAGCTACTGGAACCACATTACTAAAGAAACATGTGAATGAGTGAGCTCATAACTTAAATCCAGATTTGTTTACATAAACATACTATTTTTACAAATGTGAACAAAAAATGGAGGCTGAGCTCTAGGGATAATTACAGATACAAATTTTGAGACGCCATCTTTCATGGCATGGTTTCTGCCCGAGGAGCCTATTGAAAGCTGTACCAATCAATTCACCCAGTGCATACTCTCATTACAAAATAACCTCTACAATGTTCAGAATCCAGGCTAAATATCTGGTGGGACCTGATGAAGTCTTCAACAAAGGATCCCTTACTGCCAGAATTATTTAGCCTCGGAGCTCTTTCCCTCACACTCCGCATGTAGTCCATGAGCACATCCTGTATGTCTACCTTCAAAATGTACCCCGAGTCCATTCACTTGTCACCACCTCCAGTGTGACTACCCCAGGCCAAGCCACCCTTTAGGGCACATCTGGTAAGAAATGAGGCCCAGAATGGATCGTTGAGCTGGAGATACGGGAGCTGAGAGATGGGAACTAAGGAGTAGACATTGAAGGATGTTGAAGCTTTGTCTTTTCAACTAGATAGTAAATATGTCCTACAGACAATGTCTTTTTGACCCCTAACAACAATAATATCCGCAGCGTAACGGGGAGCCATACAGCCTTTCAGGCCGGGTACTGTCGTCCTAGTTCATATGGATTCAAACCCCTCACAGTCTGAATCCCAGTTGATTGCTATGGAAACAATGCGTAATATAAACAATATATTATGTTGCCTTACACTCCCCCCAGTGTGTCTAGTATATAACTGAGTGCACAATAGGTAATAATTAAGGAGACTTAATTATTTCATAACTGTAAGTCTATCTGAGGTAGTAAAAAGTGCTTGAGATTTAGGACCACACACTATATTTGAACTGTAGCTTTTTCATTTAAAAGTTTGAACACAATTTTAAAATTCTCTAAAAGCTCCCCCCCCCCCAAAATGGCGAAATGGAGGTAACTGTTTTACATATATTGAGGGAACTTTATTTTACTTATCTGTCCATTGCTTTCTAGATTGGCTCTTGGGAAAGCCTTGGTTTACTATCTTTGTATCCAGGTGCCCAGCACAGTGCGTGGCACCTGTCACACAGCCAATGAATTTTTGTCGGATGAGTGAGCTAGTGAAGAAATGATTGCTGTTTCTATATGAAAGTGGATCTCCAAAGATAAAAACTCTGAGACTCTAGATGAAAAATCTAAGAGGAACAGAATTTACATGTATTTCATTGATACTTTCATAGAATATACTCTTCATGAATATCTTTTATAAAATAGTCCACATTTATTCAATACAGTTAATGTCAATAGCTCTCTTTAAATTCCCCTGAGTACCTACTCAGTAAAATATATTTAAATCACACGAGGAACATATGTATATCTATTAGAATATAATTAAGAAGAATATTCTATGAAACGCCTTTTTGTTGGATCAATACAGTTTCTATATTCGCCAAATCGTTGACCAGTAAACCCTCCATGAATTTGTTTTGTGAGAACTTAGAATTAATTTACTACAAATTGTCCTAGACCAATACTTTACAATGACTAGTCATCACTCCTGACACACGGCACTCCCGGCGTGCAGGTGTTTTTCTAGGTGTCCTAAGTACCCAGCGCATGTAGGATAAACCGCAGAGGGCAAAGATGCGCTGCAAGTGAAACCATAAGTTGGGCCTTACGGAAGTTTTGTTTCTGGGGT